CCGGACATGTCCGGGAAAAAGAGGACGTATGGTAACCCTATTAGTTACTGATGTCCAAAATCATTTATCAATATCACCACTTTGAAGACAGTGGAAATTTGCTTTGGTTTAGTATACTGAGGTATCTCTGAACTGACTTCACTGATCTTTCTGTAAACTGACAGTTGGCTTCCCACAGTTGAAGATGAGTAATCAGTTGTTCATGGTTGAAATTGGAATCATACACCCGAGGCATGTCTTGAACCTGCAGCTGAGGTAGTTCTGAGAGTTTCAAGATTCTGGATAATTTTGTAGCCTTTCTGTTCAAATCTGGATTGAATACTGGACATTGTAATTACTTAGAAACTAAGTATTTGTAACATTCCTTTGCTGAATTTGGGTAGCTGGGTTCACCTGTCCCTATTTGCATTTTCTTGAGAACTTTTCTCTTCCTGGAAGCTCAGGCATTCCACTGTCTTCAATTTTAAACTCTTCTGGAGGACCTCTGCAACATACTGCTTATTCTTGGCTTCTTAAAGAAACAGTCTCACAAACTGAGAAAGGAGCATATTATATTTTTTACCCCACGATCAAGTCCCCTGAGATATGTAGTCCCAGAGAGTCAAATGCTTTATGTTTTTATGTAATGCATTAGGGGAAACACTGAAATCACTAATTGAACAAGCTTCTTATATTTTTCAAGAATAAAAAGTATAGGGCTAAACTGAGCCCTTGGCATGGTCAGGGATCTTGGAGGCATGCAGAGAGGCAGCACAGCAGGTAGAGTCCCCAGAGAGAATTAAAGCTGATTGTCATGACCGAGACGTGGGCAGTCTGACCTAGTGGTCAAAGCAGGAGTCAGGCCAAATCAGCCACACAGAGGTCAGAATCCAAGACAGCCCAGAAGGCAAACCAAGAGTTGAATGTCAGGAAGCAGGCAGAGTCAGGTTACCAGGAGACCCCAGAAACTGGAGACATATTTGAGAGCAGAACCAGAGATCGATAACCAGAGTCAAGCTGCAGGAGCAGGAAGTACAAGGCACAGTCCAGATCAAGGTGGATGCCAGATGCATGGACACTTCTTGTTCCTGTGCTGGGTTTAAATAGGGGCTGTGGACCAATCAGGGCCCCAAGTGTTCTGCCAATCAGCTCTGGGGACTGGGTCCTCTGTCTGAGTTCAGCTCCGATTCTGATAACAATTAGCTGGTCCCTTGGTGGCAAGTTGGAACCTGCTAGCTCCACAGAGCCCTGTGGGCCAGGGTTCATGGTCCCTGACATTGACTCAGCTGATTCTCATGGTTTTAGTTTCCTCTTTGTTAATTTTAAGCCCTACTAACTTTGCATAAATCTGGAGATCAGCAGTACCATGCTGGCTATTTTCTTCTCCTTGCTACAAACATCGGAAGAACTCAGAACACTTTGAATGCTTTCTGTTTGCACTACTTGATATACTGAAATGGTCAAAAAATAACCCAGCTTTAGCACATCTTCATTTTATAAAATTATATTTTTATACAGCAAATCTCATCATCAAAGTCTTATTGTGCATCACAAAACAAGACTAATCGGGTGGTTAGCTGTTTGTTAGCTGAAGCTTTTTCAGGCTTCTGCTCCTTCACATGTTTCAAAGGCCTTTATAGTAAATTGCTTTCCTTCTTCCTTAAAGGTCTCAAATGTTGAGAATGTTTGGACCCTGCGTTTTGGTTTGGCCTCATTATGAGCGTATGGACAAGCTCCAAAGTTCAGCTCTAGACCAGGAAATGAATTTCCTCAAAATTCAGTGATGTTTTAACCAATAGTTTTGCTCTGGGGCCATGTCTAAACATAGAGGAGGATTAGAAAGTAGGAGATGGGTTTGACCTGCATTGATCCTGAATTCACCAAAATGTGTCCCTCCCCTCCAGAAAAAGAAACCCTACACTTCTTCTCTCCCCCTTGAAAGTCAGCATCAATTGTTGAGCACTCTGGCTCATTTGGAATCATAAGACTCCTAGTAACAGCCTGGCATCCCCCCTCCACCCTCTTGGTTTGGTCATATTGTGCTGTAACTTGAATAGCAGGGGCAGTATGGACCTGATATTCATCTCCTGCTTGGTGGGCCCTGCACCTCGATTACTGGGTGGCTGGCAGCAATGAACTGTGCACCATGTTGCCTGCTGGTTACTGGTTTAGGCCTCAGACCTGCGGTGAGCCCTGCATGGGCCTTACTGCTCTCACTAGGGCTCCCTCTACAGACGGAACCTTGGGATCCACAGTCAGTTTTCCACTGTCTGCATATCATACTTCACTAGATGCAGTGGTTTGGCTTGAAGACAAAATTACTTCTATTCCCACATGAATATTTTCTGTTTGGCTGGTTTTGGTGCCTTTTCACTCATTTGATAAAAGTGACCTGATGCTTACTTCATTCTAATAACCCATGCTAACTTAAGGCCAAGGTTAATAAAAATTTTCCACCTACATCTCTAATTTTCAAAGGCCTCACAGAGATTATCCAATCTGGAGTGCAATTTAAACATGTTCTCAGAGCCCTCTCAATATCTGTTTCTCCCTCCATGATAAATACACAGGGACCTGAAGGAACACCAGGAAATCCAGGTCAAAGGGGTCGTCCAGGAAGAAAGGTAATGTCTTTTTCAGCTTTCCTACTTTCCTTTCTGTGTGAGCCTTTAATTTCTATTACAAAATAATTCCTCTTAATCACTTGGTGTTGATGGATCCAGAGCCCCAGAAGATACCATAAGTTTTTGTGCCACTTGTATCATTAGGCTCATGCAATGAGCCAGGAAACTCTAGGCGTAAGAGGAATCAAGTCCCCATATACTTCATCTCACACTTTGCCCTGAAGTTGGGCAAATAATTTTCTATCACTAGCACAGCAATGGAGCCTGTAGTAGGTAGGTATGGTCCCAAAACAGAACATCAGATCCAAGTTCCGTACAACTCAGGTGAAGTTTGCATCAAAATGTGGATTTTGCAGGTTGAGCCCATCACTAGTAGTAGCATAAAACATTCAGTTTGGCTAATATAGAAATAAATTACTAACAAACCATCATGCTTGTTAGTGAAATACTCCTCACTGCATGTCCTAGATTCTCAGATTTAAAAACTACCGTTAAAAGCAAATTGTGTGTTTAAAAATAATACCCTTACAAAATGATACTCTTTTGCTAAGGTATAAACTGATATTTAATTGTAATGTAAATGTCTTAATTCTTTCCATAAAATAACACCAACAGGGGGGAAAGGGGCAGCTAGGACCTCCAGGAGAGATTGGAGCCACGGGTGATGCTGGCCAACCTGGAAAATTTGGTCCTAAAGGCGCAAGAGGAACTAGAGGTCCATTGGTTAGTACAATATATTTTTTATGGAGTCATGTATTTACAGTTTAGGGGCATGGAGTCTCATAGAGGGGAAGAGACAAGTCTTGCTTGTAGTGAATTTAAAAGGTAATTTTTATTGAGGCTGCTGGACACAGATAGACCCTACATTTCTCTCTGTCTTGTTCCTAGAATAGCTAATACAATCTACATTGTCTATTGTCATCACACAAGGTTACCCTGAATCTTGGCCTAGACTAAGTAGTTCAGGAATCATCTGCTGAATATAATAAAGAAGGATGTTTATAACTGACCACCCTAAAACATTTTTAGACCAAAGATGATATAAGATGTATACAAACAGTACTATCAGTGGGGGAATGTTTTTTATCTTTGAACACAGTTTATTCTCAGATACTCCAAAAATATAGTCTGTTCCTTGTCAGTGGGATTTTCTGACACAAGCACCCATGTGTCTGTGATCAGAATCATATTCTAAAGTCATATTTTTAAATTCACCCCCTATTCTAAAATAGGTGTCTTTCCATCATCTTCAATGGGCTTTGGATAAGGCCCTGTTTGTACTAGGGTTGCAAGGTGTCCGGTTTTCGACCAGAATACCCGGTCGAAAAGGGACCCTGGAAGCTCCGGTCAGCACTGCTAACTGGGCTGTTAAAAATCCGGATGCGGCGCAGCGGGGCTAAGGCAGGCTCTCTGTCTGCCCTGGGTCTGCGCAGCTCCCCAGAAGCAGCAACATGTCCCTGCGGCCCCTAGGCAGAGGTGTGGCCAAGGGGGCTCCGCGCACTGCCCCCACCCCAAGTGCCAGCTCTGCAGCTCCCATTGGCCAGGAACCGTGGCCAATGGGAGCTGCGGGAGCGGCACCTGCAGACGGGGCAGCATGCAGAGCTGGAGTGGGGACATGCTGCTGCTTCCAGGGAGCCATCTGAGGTAAGCACCACCTGGAGCCCACACCCCAAATCCCTGCCCCAGCCCTAAGCCCCCTCCCACACCCAAACTCCTTCCTGGAACCTGAACCCCCTCCCGCATCCCAACCCCCTGCTCCAGCTTGAAATCCCTTCCCGCACTACAATCCCTCGTCCCCAGCCCAGAGCCCCCTCCTGCACCCCAAACCTCTCATCCCTGGCCCCAGCCCAGAGCCCGCACCCCTCCCATACCCCAACCCTGTGCCTCAACCCAGAGCCCCTTCCTGCACCCTGAACCCCTCATTTTTGGCCCCACCTAAGAGCCCACACCCCCTGCTGTACCCCAACCCCTTGCCTCAGCCCAGAGCCCTCCGCACACTCCAAACCCCTCGGCCCCAGCCCAGAGACCCCTCCTGCACCCCAAGCCCCTTATCCCTGGCCCTAGCCCCCAGTCCGTAGCCTCCTCCTGCACCCCAACCCCCTGCCCCAGCCCAGAGTCCCCTCCCACACCCTCATCCCTTCATGGCCCCACCCCAAAGCCCGTACCCTCAGTCCTGTGAAAATGAGTGAGTGAGTGAAGGTGTGGGAGAGTGAGCAACGGGGGGGAGGGGGGCGTGGAGTGATGAAGGGGCAGGGCAAGGGGCAGAGCAAGGATGTTCGGTTTTGTACAATTAGAAAGTTGGCAACCCTGGTTTTGTACAGATTTCTTGTATTCCCTCTAATGGTCAGTAATGATATTCATGCCTGCATACACATCCTCTGTACAAAGAAGAAACCATTACTCAAGTGCCAAGCAATTAGTTTCTTTATCACTGATTATTCTGTTTAACAGGGACATTTAGGAGTAATGGGACCTGAAGGAGAGCCAGGAATTCCAGGTTACATGGTGAGCTTATTACCAAATTAATGTATATGTGTGTGTGTATATATATGTCAGTATTTATATCTGAGATATAATTTTGTGATTACAATATATTTTGAACAATCTCTAATTGGAGGTCGGCTATACAAAGAATGTGTAAATATCCAACTAGGTGACCGACACACCAGATATTTTTATATGAAAACTAATTTTTAATGAATAAATTTAATCTTGATGGATGGTTTGATAAATAATAAAGTTTCACTGGCAATTATTTCTTACGCACATGAGGCCCAATCATGAAATCCTTGCTCTCGACCACTGCACTCAATAGGACTGTCCCATAGGTAAGGACTACTTATGTAGGATAATGATTGCAGAAGAGAGCTCCTAAAAACTTAGCCATTGCCTGCTGATTGGACAGGCATTTCCCCTTTCAATAAGAGAACCTGTAGTATTTAGTTTTAACAAGATTAGAAGAAGGACATATATGTTCTGTGGCCTCTCTCAAAAAATAATCATTTTCTTCCAAACTGATATAGTAGAAGCAAAGTGTAGGTGGATTCCTGCTGTCACCTAATGGAATAATCATCAAATCTTTGTCTTCAAATATTAATTGCAAACTAATGCCCTGATCCTGCACTTGGCCCCCTTTGTCTGGACAGAGCCTCTGTGACTGCGCACACAGAGGTCTATCTGCCTGCAACAAATTTCCAGACTGGGCCCATAATTTGTCTGAACTGTCACTATTCAATTTATCATACAGCAGAAAGTACTGATCTGAGCAATATATAACATTTTATATTTAGTTGTTTGGGGGTTTTTTTAGGGTCATCAGGGACAGCCAGGATCACCTGGTCCTCCAGGACCCAAAGGAGAGAAGGTACGGAGACTGGTTCTTGTTGTTTACAGTCCCAGTGATTGTAAAGGGTGGAAATGTTGTGGTACATTCATAGATTATCAAAGCATTTCTCAAAAGACAGTTTTCACAGCCTTTGTTTATCCAAAACCATCAAAGGGAAAAAGAATGACACTTCTGCTGTTGTGATGCAGTGTGAGCAAAAATTTAAAACTGGAGAAACAAATTACAGGAAGATAAAGTTAAGGATTAGGATGATAAAATGTTTCAGTTTATAAAACATAAGATCCTAGTTCTGCAGTCATTTTCTGCACTACCAGACAGCACCACTGACTTCCCTGAGTATGCTTACAGTAGTAAACAACATAGATCCAGCAAAGTACTTAACTTTGTTCTTAACTTTAAGCATGTGAGAATTTCCATTGACTTGACTTTAAAGTCAAATACATGCTTAAGTGCTTTGGTGGATCAGGGCCTATGCTTGGTAGAAAGTGATTACAGGATCAGGACCCAATGTTATAGATTCACTCTGATTCTTTTAGACCTTGATCCTGCAGGCGGACCCTTATGTTCACTGAAGGCAATGGGGTGTCAGACAGGTACACAGATCCACCCATGCAGATGAGCTTGTAGGATCAAGGCCTTGCAGAGTAACCTATTAGGACCAGATTTTCAAAGGTGTTTAGGCTCCTAAAGATGCCGATAGGTGCCTGGTGGAATTTTCAAAAGCACCTAAGTAGATTGGCAACTAACAATCATGAAGTCGATGGGAGTTAGGTTAACCTGCTTAGGCTCTATTGAAAATCCTACAAGGTACCTCTCTGGATCTGTGGATGCTTAAACACCTAAGAAAATATGGCCCTTAGTCTTTAAGGGCAATATGTTACTGGAGCAGAGAGTGTTTTATCTTTTGGTGTGGGTAGTAGTGTGACATTTAAAACATCATAAAATTAACCTATATAATTATTATGATATTCAGTGTAATTAACAGTGTTTCCTCTACACCTATTGGATTAGGAGTAATTAGCCTAAAATGTGAATGTTTTTGAAAGTGCAGTGCATGTAAAAGCAGGGGGTTTTCTGCAGCCTTAATGATAGTAGTCACTACCACCAATTGGTATAAATGTGTTGTATAATCCATATTTGCATGTGTGTGCACTGTATGAAATGTTTATTTCTGTTTAATATTGAAGCTAAAATTGGAATGTATTGCATAGTAAAAAAAACTTGATTAGGTAGATTTTCATTATCAGGAATAAATATTTTTAATAATTATTTTCCTTTTAGGGTTACCCAGGCGAAGACAACACAGTACTGGGACCACCTGGGCCCATAGGTGAACCAGTAGGTCTTTCTTTCTCAAAAAAATTATATTAGTGATTCAAGACAAGAGGCAGTAAATGGAGTTTCCACAAGTTCCACAGTTGCCTCAGACGTCTAGGGTCACTTTGTCATACAAAGGTGCAGAACCAGTGTCGTTAGAAACAAAACTGAACACATTGTTTTACTGTAAAAAGTGGCTGTCCAAAAATGGCACCTTCTTACTCAGCAGATCTGTACTCCCTGTTAAATTATCCTAATGAGATTACTTTTCATTTAGATCAACATGTCTGAGAACAGAATTTGTTCCAAATAGTTATCTGCTTGTTTTAGTGACCCAATATAAGTGTCTTTTCATTCCTGTTAGCAATGCAAAATGAATGCAACTGTGCAAGGGTGAGCTGCTATGATGATTTGTTTATTAAAATGGTGTGAGCACTACCTACAAAGAAGAATTTGAAGGCAATGGAATGAGAAGATGTAAATGAAGACAGAATTTGGACCTCCAGAGGGAACTCAGTTAACAATTCTCATGAAGATGCCTGAGAAAGAAGAGAACCTAGTTCACTCAGCCATAGCTGTGTTGATTCTGCCATGCTAACTGGAGCAAAAGTTGTATGCAGTCATTCCATTCCATGTGGGTTTCCGCTGGGAAGCATACCACGTGGCTGCTTCAGGAGGCCCCAAATCTAATGGAAACACAGAAAAGGGGAGAGGCAACGGAGGGGGATTCCACAGCCCCATGCATGCCATGTAGCTGAGCTCTACAGCAGCTGTCTCTGCAGAAACATTCGCGTGCAGGGGAGAAGTAGGGACCTGGCATCAGTACCATGGTGATGAGCATGTAATAGAGATGGCCAGTGGGTCAGTTCATAAACTTTGAAGATCCACTGCGCCTGATGATCCCCTGGTAATCTTGAAATAAAGCAATATTTGCTTTCTTAGTGTTTTTATTTCAGATACTGGGAGGGAAAAGCTGCTCCCTGTTAAAATCTCCATCCACCTAAATGCTGAGTGCCTTCAGGAAGGTGTTGAGCCTCCTTACCTCCATTGGGTAAGATCCTGCACACATCAGCTTCAGTGGATGCAGGATTTGGTTCATTGACTGCAATGAGCATTAAAGTGCTTACCCGTTCCCAGCGGGGACCCAGCACCTTGCAGATTTGGGAGTTGAGACTTTTCCTTTAAATGCAGTCAGCAAACTGCAGCTTCTACTGCAGGTGATGGGATGCGATAGTAGCAACACCATCATTCACAGGGCCCTGCTTCTGGATTAGGTGAGAGGCTTCCCTGCCTCCCCCATCTTCTGTACAGTTCTCATACACTAAACCTCTTTATGCAGGCTTTGCTAAGGGATTGAGGATTTCCTCTCATAAACAGAGTTTCACTATAGGCAGGTTCATTATAAAACAGGTTCCATCTGTACCTAATGGTCCCTGTCATTTGTTTTCTTTACATATTAATCATGGTAATGGCACCTTCCTATAATCTTCTGCAATTTGAATCAAATGATCCCTTCAAATAAAAAAAAGTTAGGGTCTCATTCTGATCTTACTTACATAGGTGTAAATCTGGAGAGATTCCTTGGATGTCAATAGAATTATTCCAGATTTGCAGCTGTGGGAGGTTAGAAGCTTGGACTGTGGTCTTCGTTTACAATATATTTTTGATGGATTGCATGTCTTACTGTAATACATTTTTGTTTTAGAAATGGTTCATTTTTATTCCGTGGACTTAGCTGATTTTCTCATTTAACAGTATGTATGTTTTGGTAACCTCACAGCTGGTTGATTGGTTTGTTCTGAAGGAAAGGCCCAGATGTATTGTTACTGCAGCAGTATTTCAATTCAGCCATTAAACTCTGCTCTTTGGTTGTCTCTCTAGGGTCCTAGTGGTGAACGTGGAGATAGAGGAGAACCTGGTGATGAGGGATTCAAGGTAAATACCACTTGCTTTGTAAAACAGCAAAACAAAATTGCTGTTCTCTCTCTCTCTCTCTCGTGCACACACACACACACACACACACACACACACACACACACTCTCACACAAGTGAGCTGCTGATACTTCACCTGTATTGATTAGTTCTTAGTTTAAATTTATACTGTATCGAATAAACTAATACATTTGTCTGGAATTGCAAACACTATTATTTTGTAACTAATAATTTTATGTATGTTTTATGCAGTTTTCCTGCAAATATGCTGTAACCTCACTATAACAAACACTCATTACAATTGTTACTGTTGTGGCGTCAGCAAAACAAAAAGATACAATCCCTGACAGAAACAATGAGGAGTGTGAGGTCAGTCTAATGAGATAAATCAATTAACAGCAGGATACCAAGGGAGGAAAAATAACTTTTGAAGTGGTAAGAGAGTGGCCTATTACAAACAGTTGACAAGAAGGTGAGCGTTACAGTAGGTTACAGACAGTTGACAAGAAGGTGAGAGTAACAGAAATTCCCCAATTCCAATTTCTCCCTATTGTTACTCTCACCTTATTTTTCCTCCCTTGGTATTCTGCTGTTAATTGATTTATCTCATTAGACTGACCTCACACTTGGTAAAGCAACCCCCATTCTTTCATGTATGTATACCTGCTCCTGTATTTTTCACTTCATGCATCTGATGAAGTGGGTTCTAGCCCACGGAAGCTTATGCCCAAATACATTTGTTAGTCTCTAAGGTGGCACAAGGACTCCTTGTTGTTTTTGCTGATATAGACTAACACGGCTACCACTCTGAAACCAGTCCCTGACAGAAAGATCTTACACACACAAAACAGATCAGACCTATAATAAAGCAATAAACCAAGTATGAGCCAATCTTGCAAGAATGCAGAAAACGTTAAACAATGTATAATTCCCTCCCATGGTGAGCGTGAAGTAGGGATTGTCACGAAGAAAGGCTCATTAAGGCCTTAATTCCATGAGGCACTGAGCAGCCTGAATTCCATTTAACTCAGTGGAGTTGAGGATTTTCAGGGTACGTCTACAGTGCAAAAAATCACCCATGGCAGCGAGTCTCAGAAGCTGGGTCATCTGACTTGGGCTAGTGGGTCCCAGCTAAGACCCATGCCCCTTGTCAGGTTTCAGAGCCTAGGCTCCAGCCTGAACAGGAACATCTACAGTGCTATTTTTAGCCTCGTCGTGTGAGCCCAAATCATTTGATCCAGGCTCTGAGACTTGCCATCGTGGGTTATTTTGCAATGTAAACATATCTGCAGCTCCTCCCAGGATTGGGCTTTAGAAGAAAATGATCAGCTCATCAGAGTTATCGCTGCAGTGATATTTATGTTTTCTGTTTCTAGGGTCACACAGGGCTTCCAGGTCTAAGAGGAGCAATTGGACAACAAGGGCCTCCAGTAAGTGTTCCAGGCAGTTAGCTGTATGTATTGTGCTTCTGTGTTTGTTATTGGAAATAATTTATTTCTCTCCTACCTTCATGGCCAATTTTTTTTGCTTGTTTTTTTTTTTTTTTTGTTCTTTCTAAAGGGTGAACCAGGTGAATTGGGGGAGCAAGGACCAAAGGGAGAGAGAGGATCAGAAGTAGGTGGAAAAAAGAAAAGAAAACTCCACTTTATTGTAATTCTTTTGTGTTTGCAATTGTAACAACCATTATTGTCCTTAGAAGACAAAGTGAAGTTTTTAAATCATAAGGGTCCCTTTAAGAACAAAGCATGATTTACAGCTGTTGTGCTGAACGATGACTGCAGTAACATTCTATTTTAACATGACTTCCTGCCACTTATTGACACTCTATGCCTTATTAAGTCCTCACAAACACAAACACAATGGACCTGATTGCTACCTAAAACCATACAGCGATGAATAGGATAGTTGTCCACTGGTGTGACTTGAACAGGGTCCCCATCAAATTAGGTATACTTCATTTGTATTTCTCCATAGAATTCCCTGTGCTCACTAGACTTTTCTCTATAAAAGATATTTAGATTTCAAATTAGGCCAGATTCAAGATGCCAACTGATTTTGGAGTTGGTTGATTTTTGGCCCTAATTACCTGATGTATGTCTCCTTTTGCCATATTTTATTACAACATATTTATATTTCCAAATATTTTAGGAACTGTTAATGTGTATTTACCTAAGTTTCAACACTTCCTTTAAGGCACCACTCTGAGTTGGAGGCAGTGAAGAGTTTCACCACTCCAGAGCACAATGTCTTCGGAAGCTCCCAGGGTGTACCGGAGGAGTATGCCCACTTCTACATCCCTTACCATGCATTCCACTGGCTGAGGGAAAGTAGGCTGGGGTTAGGGTTAGAGAAAATGTCATCCCCACCCCCTCTTCCAAATGATATTAGCTAGGAGCAGCCATTGCTCTCAAGGTAGCCTAAGGTCTACCACCTGTACTCAGGTCACAAATGAGCAAGTTCCTTTCATGTTTCCTCTCTCCCATGCCCACACAGGGGCCTGCCCCAATGTGCTGTATCATAGAGTTATAGAATATCAGGGTTGGAAAGGACTTCAGGAGGTCATCTAGTCCAACCCCCTGCTCAAAGAAGGACCAAGCCCCAGACAGATTTTTACCCCAGTTTCCTAAATGGCCCCATCAAGGATTGAACTCACAAACCTGGGTTTAACAGGCTAATGCTCAAACCACTGAGCTATACCTCCACTTTATTAAGAATCAAATACAATTTTGAAATATTTGGCCTACTTTTTCCAGCTTTTAGGCTTATGGAAAAAAGATATGATAGTTCTCCTGAAAATGATTGACAGTGGTATTGAGGCATCATACATTTATATTGGTGTTGAGACTAAAATGATCCTGTTTCTATTTCATCCCTTAAGGAGAAAAATAGCATGAAATGGAAACTTACCAAAAATTCACAATAACCTAAGATAGCAAATAAGTACTACTTGATAGATAAGTATTTTTACCCTGAAGTGGTGAAAAGCCTTTACAAATTTGCTTCTTCTCAAAATATTTGAATGTCCTTTTATGTCCTTAAATGGAAGCCCACTTGACAAACTAGCCCTGTCCAAACACCCAGAATTACATAGCGCTGATCCATCTGATGAAATAATCTGTAAGGAAAGCCCAATCAGACTGTATAGTATGTACATTCAGAATGGCTGGGCTTTCGACTGAGGCCTGGAAGTATGGAGTATGCTACAAAACAACAGCACACTAATGACAGAGCAAGTCTTGAAAAGATCAAATATAAATATTTTCCTTCACCAGTAATACTTTGTTCTCATCGTGTGCTGTAAATTGCCTAAAGTATTTCACACTCTGCCATTGGATGACTTTTATTGGCTTCTAATATTTTTAGAAGGATTAGAATAAAGATGATTTGTAATCTGTATTCCCATTGCAATTTAAATGGGACGGATATTAGTGATTTGTCCCAGAACTCCCACCCTCACCCCACAATCCTGCTGCAAATAAACCATTTTCTGTGTATAGATGATAATCTGAGACACACTGGAAATGGGCAGTAATGCAAAATGAACACCTGAAATCCTCATATACCAGTACCAACATGAAACCGCTCCTATGCATTCTGATGTATTGACTTTGAGAACATATGCACACTGTAGGACAAAAACAGTCATCCCTCAACCCTCTCCCTGGGAAAAATTTCCATTATATTAGTCAGAAAATACTCCCCAGCAAGAAATCTCCATATGCCAATTTGGAGCCAATATTCAGCCTGGAACAAAACTTTACAGCCTAAAGTCTTATAAAAAAGCATGTTAATAATAGAAACATTGACACAACCTTAGCTTCTGTGGTGTGAATAGTGCTGCTCTAAATAAGTCTTACAAGGCTAGTCACACAGAACATAAATTAACTATTTTTATTTTATATGAACTCTGAAATGTTAATGAAAGTGAAACAGGGTGCTTTAAATGTATAGATTTCAGTTTTAATTGGTGGAGTTTTTGTGCCATAATTTTATTAAGAAAAGTTATTAAATTAAACAATGGAACGGTATTTTGTTAACTTTCTGGTATTTACATTAGTTGTATGGTGGGTTTTGTATTTACCTTTATCTTTAGTTTGTTTAAACTTTATTAGGTGGAATATAGTTTTACCATAGTATGGTTATTCACTAGCCTTTTTTTCTAGAAATTGTGTTAAAAATAATTTAGACCAGAAAACTTTAAAAGGTCTTTTCTACTCAATCTATGCTGTAGTGTTGTTGTGTACTACTGCCGTCTACTCAGAGGTGGCTGTATTTCTGAAGTGGATGAATGATCCCTGTATACACTGTGGTTTATAAAGGCTTTTTAAAGTTTTCTATGTGCTTTGGGATCTTCTCAAAAGTGCTTCAGACCCATTGAAAGTTAATGGGACTTAGATGCTTTTGAAAATGTTACCTTCTCCATATCAGTAAGTTAGCGAAATCCACAGATGTCTCCACATTGGTTGTGCAATCCAAAAAGTAGTTTTTTAAATTAACTGTTTATTTCATCATTCGTATTGTGTTTAGAGTCCAGATAAAAGGGAATATTCACTATGGCAAGAGTCCTGTTTTCCAATACAGGCGTCAGCATATACAGTGTGCCCATATTTCTTATTTTGTATGCTTTGCTTTTCAGAAAGAGATGAAAGTGCTATAGAAAAATGTACTTTGTTACAGTGATATTGTCTGATGATGCAAAGTTACCTAAATATCTGGAATATCCTGATTAGCTCCGGTACTGTTGAAATTACCTGAAATTGTACAGTATATTAAAGAAGAAGGGGAAAACTGATAGCAACCACTCTATGAAATCTTTGTTTTGATTGTTGAAAATGACATGCTTTTAGGGCCTGATCCAAAGCCAGGTAATGAAAAGATTCTCATTAGAATCTTCTTTTATGTCTTTGGTTTGACCAATTCACAAATGTTTGAATTATCTAGGGTCCCACTGGAAAAAGAGGAATGACTGGTCAAGCTGGGAAACCTGGAATTCCTGTAAGTAACAAGATTCTACTATCTATGTTCGGTTTATAAAACAGATAAATGCAAATGATGATGCGTATAAAAATCAAAATTATTCATTGCTTGTGGTAGTATAAGGCCTTGATTCTCATTTACCGTAAGACCACTTTATACTGCTTTGCCAATCTAAATGGGATTCAAAGTGGATCTAAATGTAATTGTCCTTAAGGTAAATGAGAATCAGGCCAATAATCTTTGATGAAACACAAAATGGTATTAAATGATACTGAAAACGAACTCTCTCAGTTAATCAGCACATTGGAATGAGGTACAATTAGTGAATTATATCCTGAGGCTGCTTCCCATTTGCAAAGTTATAACTACATTCTTTGTCTGTAGAGTTTACACAGACCATACAGTTCTTATCACATTAGCAGGGACCACCCTGAAGTTAGCTGCATTTGTTCCCCCCACCCCCCCACACACACACTCTCACTCATTGGCTCCCATAAATTCTCCTTCGAATGTGTACTGCCTTCAGAACTCTCCATCCATGTGCCCATGACAAATATGGCTGCCTAAGTTTCTGACCTTTCCCCACCTTTGTCACTCCATCAGACCCCAGATATTAAGCACACTTTCATTAAAAAGCAGTTACTCCTTTTTAAAGGAACTAATCCTTCCCCCTCTCCACAAGGGGTGAGTAGAAGAGGAAACCAGTGAATGTTCCATAAACATTACCTAGTATACATTACAACAAGGCTATTTCTGGGTCCACTAATAAATAACACACACCAGCACATGCTGTAAATAACCTTTACTAGCTTCACATACTATCATTTCTGGTAAATGAGAAGTACAACTGCTTAATAGAAGCCTGTCAACAAACTGCACATCCTGTACAGAGTGGATGGACAGCATTTTATTGGATAAATTAAGTTATGTAGAAATTCCAGAAGTTTAGATATGCCCTCGGAAGTACTGAACAGATACATATGTAGTTTCAGTAGTACAGAACAAAGAGAACATGGGGAAAGGCAGGAAAAAGGAAGGAGAAGCAGGGAAGAAAGGAGCGATGAGAGGAGGCTTCTGGGGAATTTCAAAGCTTATCTCAGGCTCATTACAAGGTGCAAGTTTCTTGTACCACTAAAAATTGAAGCCAAGATTTACATGACAAATGTTTTACATATTTATATCACTGTTGAAAACACATTTTTGGATGAGGCATAGTGATCTAGTTGGAGAGGATATTTTGTATTTCTGGTGCGTGCATTCACTTGGAGATACACCTCTACCCCGATATAACGCTGTCCTCGGGAGCCAAAAAATCTTACTGCATTATAGGTGAAATCGCGTTATATTGAACTTGCTTTGATCCGCCGGACTGTGCAGCCCTCCCCCCTCCCCCTGGAGCACTGCTTTACCGCGTTATATCTGAATTTGTGTTATATCGGGTCATGTTATATCAGGGTAGAGGTGTAGTTACATGAGTTCTAAGCCTCTTCCACTAGTATATTGCAGTTTAAAGGTAAATCATCTTGTTGAAAGAAATTCACTGAAGCTTTGATGAAGATGACATGATAGCATTCAGTGAAAGCTTACAAGGGCTAGTAAGGTAAGTGCTGTTTAATGAGAGGTTCTCATGTGTTTTTGATACAGATGTGTTTGAATTATGTAATTTCTCAATTATATAATAGCTCCAAATACTTTCAGAAATCACTTCTGACTTCTGAAGCCTTGATTGTTGGATGTCTCACCTGAGATACCTTGGACCTGATGTGCAAACAGTCACAACTCCAGCTGAAGTCACTGGGATCTGCAGGTCCTCAGCGCCTCTGAAAATCAGACCCAAGGAATCTCAGGTTGGCCATCCAAACTCAGAGGCCACTTTTGAAAATGTTGATATAGGTTACTGAGACTATTATTATAGTAGGGCCTAGGAAATATTGTTTTGAAATCTTTTTTCTATGACTTTAGACACTGCTCATGAATATGAATAGATTTAGTAGATTCATATTCTATTTGAATTTGTTTCAAGGGAAAACCAGGCCCACGAGGGCAGAAAGGTGCTTCTGGATATCCTGGACCAGAGGGCATTCCTGGGAATCCTGGAAAGCCTGGGTTACCTGGGAATGCTGGCTTTCCTGTGAGTAACATATACCTACCTCTGCCCTACATGCTTTATATATAAACAGAGGGAGGCTGCAGGGTTAAGGAAAAGTTCTTTTTACAGCATTGTTACAACACTGTTGTTATGGCATAGTCATCCCATATTCTTTCCCACAGCAGCTAGAAAAATATTGGGAGTGCCTTAATAACTGCACTAGAGATTGAAGCATCCTAGGTAGCCCAGAGTTGCTGGGGAAGTCTGAAAGGAGAGAGAGAGAGAGTGTGTGTGTGTGTAGTACTAGCAATGCCAATCCTACTTTCCTATAGAGAAGACGGCAGGCAGCCTTCCGCCCCTCTGAACATCTTTTATATGTCACCATTTCGCCAAAAGGAAGGACGGAAACCCCGTTGCTAATTCTCCCCCATGGAAAATTAGGCCCCATTGAAATCAATGAGGCTACTTACAGTAGTAAACACTGTGCCTGGTAGTAAGTATTGGCTGGATTGACCCATAATTTGTTATGAAGATAAATTAGATTAAATTTAGTGTAACTATTTAGTCAAGTTAATAGTTGACGAAGAACTGCTATAAATACTGGTGTATTTGCACAAAAACAAATGAAATAACTTGTTCATAAGGGGGCAGATGCATATTACTCTAGCTGTTAAAGGCTTCATATCATATTAACTGTGGAGTTACAGGGTTTATTTCAAGTGATTGTAGTTCTTTGCAGTTGAATTTAGAGGGAACACCATAATGAATAGCTTTTTCTTATTCTTTTTAGCCTGTTCAGTAATAATTCAACATTCTTCCAGTACTACTGAATACTGAATGTTAACAATAACATTGACGTGTATCTACTTAAGAGATATTTTAAACACAAGTTAGCCACATAAAATAGAGAGAGCAGAACATTTGTTATGAAAGCACAGCAGTTCATCAGACTGGGAACCAGAGTAACATATTGAAAGGCTGTGGAAGCCACATTAGGAAACCTGCTCTATTAATAGAAATGATGAATGGAACGACATATGAAAAAGATATTCTGTGTTTGCTTCTAAGTGACATCATAATAAACACTAATTATGGATGAGGAGGGCATCTTTCCATTCATTTTTTAAAACATGGCATAGGCATGTTCTTTTGGTTTAACTCCATACACTCAGCAGCATGTTTTTTTCATTTAAAAATTGTTGCTCTTCTGTACAGTCTGGGGTACCAATATATTTTAGTAGCAAATGTTCTGATGTTTCTTGATGTGGTAAATTTATTTTTATATTCATCCTTTTTGTACACAATAATGCTAATATAATTAGGATGTTTGGCATTTATAAATAAGCATGTTGAATTTGAATGTCTCTGAAAGACGCTATGAGAAAAAGCACTGTCTTTTTTGTTATGTGGAGAACCTCCTACACGAATAAGTGTTTCAAGGCTGAACAGTCATTTCAGTACATCTGTAATCAATGAGTCTGACATCTTGTTTTCATCAAGAGGAGCTCCTTATTATAAGCTTGTGATCTCTTGAATTCTCAGACCTAATTAAAAAGAAAACAACATATCTAGGGAAAGATCATACATGTGTCATCCAAGGATGAGCCCAAGCAGTCATGTTCTGTTACTAACACTGATTAGGGCCCTGACCCTGCACATTTTAAACTGTAATCAAGCAAAAACAGCTATGGGTCAGATCCAGATCCCATTTTATTGGTGTCCCCAAAACTTGAGGTATGGGGTTAGTTTCAGATAGATGGTTCCATCACTAATATAAACAACTTTGTATGATCCACACTACCCTTGAATAGGAGAAGTGAAAGAAGCCACTGGGATGTCAGTAAAGTGGTTTTGAAATATACAGTTACGTGGAAGATCATTCTGCTGGTCATCAATGTCCAGACTCAGTCTGCAGTCCCGCAACTGACCACACACATGGGGACATCAGTGCCAGCAGGGAGCCCCACTGATTTCATGTTGATTCACTTCACAGTTCTCGGTGCCTTTATCCAGGCCTGTGGAGATGATTCTCAAAGCAAACATTGAGAGAGGAGATCTAATCACAAAATCAGGGGTGTCATTTGTGGGGGGAGGAGAAGACTCCTGCCCCCTACCCCAAGTTTTGTACAGGTGGTGTGCTCCCAGCCGGAGCTCTTAACTACAGCACAGCATTAGTGTGGAATTTGAGTTCTGCAGAGGAGATGTGCTGCTCCCAGTTTATGCCCCTGGGGCAGGGAGACAGTATTTTGTTTACAGACAGAGGCAGGGTGATTAAGATAAGAAAGGGCTGGTAATTAAATTAAGGATCTGGAAGTGGTTAGATGAACCTGTAAAACAGGAATCCCTGGTGGAGGGGGAGGAGTGTTAAAGAGAGAACGCAGGAGACTCAGAAGAAATACAGCCAAGCCCTCTGAGCCAAGTTTACATTCTGAAAAGAGGGAGATTTGAAGGGCATAGGTCAAAAGAAGGGGCCATACCCAGGGAAGGGCTAGAAGTGGTATAGAGAAGATCCCACTCTACCTGTGGTACTTATGTGGCCCCATCACCACAGTATCTGAGCGCCTCACAATGTCTAACCTATTTCTCCTTACAGCCCCACTGTGAGGTAGAGAGCAGTGCTGGTATCCCTATTGTACAGATGGGGCATTGAGGCACAGAGAGAATAAAGGCCAGATTTTCAAAGGTATTCTGGGACCTAGTGGGATTTTCAAAAGCACCTAGAAGCTTAGGTGCTTTGTAAACCCCACTAGATGCCTAGCTGCATCTTTGGGTGCCTAAAAACCTTTGAAACGATGTACCTAAGGCACTGTGAGTGGCCTGAGGTCATACAGGAAGTAGAATCCAGGTCTCTCAGGACTAGGGTGACCATTTGTCCTGTTTTGGCAATGACAGTCCCTTGCTTAAGCCCTGTCCCAGCTGGGCATTTGTCTCATTTGCTCTTGCCAGCTGATCACCAGTTAGCAAGAGCAAACTGGACAAATGCACAATTTTGCCACAAAAGTGGGGTGCAATCCCTAGCGTGGCACGGAGGAATGTGCAGGAGGGTGAGTGGCAACACCAGCCCCAAGCGGGAGGGAGGGCTCAGGACAGCAGCTTGGGCTAGGCTGTCCCCGGGCGGGCAGCAGCGGGGGCTTGGGCTGGCCCTGCATGGGGGGGAGGGAAGAGTATCTTGGGCTGGCCCAAGGAGGCAGGGAGGGCTTGGACCGGCCCTGTCTGGAGGTGAGAGGCCTTTGGCCGGCCCCATGGGGTGTTCCATTTTCTCTTTGGGAAAATACGGTCACTTTACTCAGGGCTAGCTCCCTATCCACTGGACCAGCCTAACTCTCTGCTGCACGCTGCAAGAAAAAAGAGGACTCTGATAGATGGGAGGAAAACCAAGAAGTTCTCTAAGACTTCAGCAAACAGTCCCCAGCGATTGGGAAGCATGATTCACAACATGTAAAGCAGCACAGAGGTCAGGAAGGATGAAGAGAGAATGAGAGGAGATCACTTAATCCACAATAGGTGGCAGGTTCTGCCCCAGGCTGGGCTGTATAGCACTGGCTGCTGTGCAATTTTAGATTTTAACTGAAAACCATTTTGTTTTGTCATTTTTTTTTCTGAGCTCAAGAAAAGGAAGGAATGAGAAAGTGTCGTTTGAGTATCAAATGTGTTTACGCCTCAAATTCTTAGGCAGATGTATTGAGGCCAATTCCAGAACAAAGAACAGAAATTGCATCCACAGAGTCCCTAAAGTCAACAATTATTGTCATGATTTGTATTATTCACTGGGCACCATCTGTGTGCTCAGCACTGTTCAAAATATGCCAGAAAATGTAGTTCCTGAGCCAATGTGTATAAGATGTGTAGCCCTGAATAAGATGGCTCAGATATTTAAGTATGAAGTGTATAGTTACTGAGCACATGTTAATATCTGTGAGTGGAGGCACTTAAGTAAGGCAATCAAAATTTTACTTGATTAAGGACTAGAAGCTTTGACCCTCCAACTTCCTTTCAAGAGGAAGAGCTGCCCAGAGCCCCTGTGCCTGTTCATTTTCCTTTCCTGCCTGCAGTGGCCCTTATATACCTCGGAAATCTCTTTTTTTTTTTCTCTACTTACCTTTAAATTTGGAATTTTCTTGGTGTTTGGTTTTAAATACTCTCCTGTGAAAATTGCAACTCAGTCACTGTAGTGTTGTGTTTAAGAGCCTTCTGGAAAGTAACTAGCCTTTGCAGTGTTGCCAACTCTCATGATTTTGTCATGAGTCTCAAAGCTGATGGTAAACTCCATCTAAGGCTAAATACTGGCACGAGACCGATAGTCAACAAGTACCGTAAGGGAAAGTTGAAAAGAACTTTGATGATAATTATTGTTTTCCTTAAAGCCCCAGCTCTTGGAGTCAAGTGGATATGTGATTATTTCAGCCTTCATTCTTAAAGAAAAATGAAGTTTCTAGCCCTCGTGGCTAGTGGAAAAAGCTTTAAAGCATGACCCCAGTGCACCCTAAAGGTTCAAAAAGACAGAAGGCAAATAAAAAGAACTCCAAATCTATTATTTTTACATAATCTCATTATTTTAAAGCCAATCTCATGATTTTTGGTGAGCCTGATTCATGATTTTTGAACACTTGGTGTTGGCAATACTGTGAAAGTGACTTGAAAGTGTCAGATTAACTCCTATTTAAAGTCTGTTTTTAGTCTATTTGTAGTTGGTTAACACCCCTTAAGCCCCAGGCAGGTGCAGTATAAACTCATGGGGCCCTGCCCTAGTAGGATGTTTCCAAAAGTTAATTGATCTATTTCAAGTTTATAAACAGCAAAAAAGTGATAGAAAGTAATTAGATTTTTCTACAATTGTTTCAATTGTTGTATTCAAGAGTTAGTAACAAGGTGAGAATATACATTAAAAATTTTAAACCTAACCACTGTCCCTTAAGTGACTTGATACAAGATGTCAGAACATAGAATCATAGAATCTCAGGGTTGGAAGGGACCTCAGGAGGTCATCTAGTCCAGCCCCCTGCTCAAAGCAGGACTAATCCCTAACTAAATCATCCCAGCCAGGGCTTTGTCAAGCCTGAACTTAAAAACCTCTAAGAAAGGAGATTCCACCACTTTCCTAGGTAACCCATTCCAGTGCTTCACCACCCTCCTAGTGAAAAAGTTTTTCCTAATATCCAACCTAAACTTCCCCCACTGCAACTTGAGACCATTACTCCTTGTTCTGTCATCTGCTACCACTGAGAACAGTCTAGATCCATCCTCTTTGGAACCCCCTTTCAAGTAGTTGAAAGCAGCTATCAAATTCCCCCCTCATTCTTCCCCTCTGCAGACTAAATAATCCCAGTTCCCTCAGCCTCTCCTCATAAATCATGTGCTCCAGCCCCCTAATCATTTTTGTTGCCCTCCGCTGGACTCTTTCCAATTTTTCCACAACCTTCTTGTAGTGTGGGGCCCAAAACTGGACACAGTATTCCAGATGAGGCCTCACCAATGCCAAGTAGAGGGGAATGATCATGTCCCTCGATCTGCTGGTAGTGCTCCTACTTATGCATCCCAAAATGCCATTAGCCTTCTTGGCAACAAGGGCACACTGCTGATTCATATTCAGCTTCTCGTCCATTGTAATCCCTAGGTCCTTTTTTGCAGAACTGCTGCCTAGCCACTCGGTCCCTAGTCTGTAGCAGTGCATGGGATTCTTCTGTCCTAAGTGCAGGACTCTGCACTTGTCTTTGCTGAACCTCATCAGATTTCTTTTGGCCCAATCCTCTAATTTGTCTAGGTCCCTCTGTATCCTATCCCTACCCTCCAGCGTATCTACCACACCTCCCAATTTACTGTCATCTGCAAACTTGCTGAGTGTACAGTCCATGCCATCCTCCAGATCATTAATGAAGATATTGAACAAAACCGGCCCCAAAACCCCTGGGACACTCCGCTTGATACCGGCTGCCAACTAGACATGGAGCCATTGATCCCTACCCATTGAGCCTGATGATCTAGTCAGCTTTCTATCAATCTTATAGTCCATTTATCCAGCCCATACTTCTTTAACTTGCTGGCAAGAATACTGTGGAAGACCATATCAAAAGCTTTGCTAAAGTCAAGGAATAACACGTCTACATCTTAGTATTAGAGCTAAGTGGGTCTAATATTTTTATTTAATTTTTGTTCTTTATATAGGAATTAGATACAGTGCTCCTGTCAGCAAATTTATGAATTAGTATCTGCAAAAAAACCTAGAGTGCCTAAGTAGCTCCTGGAATCACAATGAATGTTGCCCCTCCTCCAAGTCTGAAATGGCACCCCCAGCACAAAATGTTGTTTTAGTTACTAAGACCACGTTTATTTATAGAGTAATCCCAATATGTTTTACAGCTGTATACTATTGTCTAGCTGTGTGTGCGCATATACAGAGATGTGGTATAAATATATACACAAATATATAAACAGCATTGGCTGAACATTGAAGTGTGTGCCCGTTTTAGTGTGCAATGGAAATGCTGCCAATAGCTGTTCTGATTGTAATCAGTTGTTCTTGCTTTGTTAAGGGTAATAAAGGGAGCCCAGGAATAGCAGGGCTGGCAGGGTATCCTGGAACTCGGGGAGCAAAGGGATTGCCGGGCGTGCCAGGTATCAGTGGAGAACCAGGACTAAAGGTACTGTGACTGATATTTTGTTATGCTTGTCAGATCCAGTATTGTTGATGTTCCTTAATCTTCATCTTCATCTCCTAGCTGACAGATCATGGGACAACAAAACGCCTTTTAATAACACTAATGTTAATATCAAACGCACATTTGAAATGTAAGACTGCAGACTGCATAATTTTTCTTGTTTCTCACATTTTATAAAAACAGAGCAAATTAATCTGGCTTTGGAGCATCAGTTCCCAACCATCAGCATTTTACTTCCAACACCAAGAACCAATCAACATTCATCTATCTGGGCCCTTACTAATACAAGCTTTAGAGCCAAACCCTTTAGTCTTACTGAGGCAAACTTCCCCTAACTGACATGGGAGTTTTGCTGGAGTATGTCCTGCATGATTTGTCCTGTGAAGCAATCCATTAACATTTGATTGCAATACTTTCAAGTGTAGGGCCCAATCTGGGAAGGTGGCAGGTATCTCTGAGCTTCAATGGAAAACCAGGGTGCTCAGTATCTCACAGGACCAGATTCTTTCTTCTTCACCCCAATATCCCAAAAGGAGAAAACAATTTGAGAGAGCTCCATTTTCCAGGCAATTCCAGATACCACAGTAGCATGTTTTGATCCATCTACTAATGTGAAACTGACTAGAAGTAAACTGAAGCCAGTGCCGTAGGAAGCAGAGAGTGGAAACAGCAGAAGTCATTTTCAGGATTTGGAGTGGAATGCTTGATTTAAACTGATGATTTCCAGAAAGTCCATTTTTCTCCACATGATTTTACTGGTAAACCGTTTTTAAAAACAAAGTTTTATTTAGTAAGTATGAAGAAATTTTCTGATTTCTCTGTTATCTTTCCATGACTATACTTGGGAACTAACTATTCTAGTCACTACTAATTATGTATATTATGATAGTGCCCAAAGGCCCCAATCAGGATTGGGTCTCTTTTGTCCTAGGACAGTATCAGACTGCGGCTTTGTCTACACTGGAACCTGAATGTCATTCATAGATGTGAAAAAACACCCCTCCCCCAAACGATAAAAGTTTTGCTGACAAAAAGTGCAGGTGTGAATAGCGCTTTGTCAGCAGGAGAGTTCTCTTGCCGACAAAGCTACTGCCGCTCGTTGGGAGTGGAAGTTTTTTGTTGATGGAAGAACTCTCTCCTGCCCAGGGCTGGCTCCAGGCACCAGCGAAGGAAGCAGATGCCTGGGGCTGCCAGTAGAAAGGGGTGGCACTCCGACCGTTCTTGGGGTAGCACGTCCGAGTCTTCGGCGGCAATTCAGCAGCGGATCCTTCACTCCCTCTCTTCCTCTTTGGTGGCACTTCGGCAACAGCTCAATTGGGTTTTTGGGGGTTTTTTTCTTCACCGCTTGGGGTGGCAAAAAAGCTGGAGCCAACCCTGTTCCTGCCAACAAACAGCGGCTACACTGCGCACCTTTTAGTGGCACAGCTATAGTGGTACAGCTGTGTCACTAAAACGTGCGAAGTGTAGACATAGCCTGTTCCTGCCCTGAAGAGCTGACATTCAAGGAACAGACAATGGGAGAGGAGAGTGGTAAAGTTGTCGGGGTGATGTTTTGTGTCCCCAAGTCAAGCAACAATCAAGCAATGTTTGTATTTTAGTGAAAGGAATAATTACTAGAAAATATTCCTGAAGGAAAAGTAGTGAAATACTGTACAACTGTTTGAAATAGATAGTGGAAAAGTTTGTTGCTATATAAAAGCTGTTTAGCTACATAATTCTTTTCTGACACACATTCATTGAGGAGTTAATCTTATAGCTGTTCTGTTGCAATGATAAGGAAAGATGCATTATCGGTCTCTCCATAGGGTGAGCAAGGGCTTCAGGGTCATCCAGGAAAACAAGGTAAAAGAGGCCTTCCTGGGGTACAAGGTGATCAAGGCCCACCAGGAGATCCTGGATTGAAAGGGAAAACTGTACGTATCTACCATGGATGACGCAAAACAATATTCTAACAATTCAGTCAGCAACATGGAATAATAACCAACATGCCTGCTAATATTACAGGGAGAACTTGGAGATCAAGGTTTGATGGGGTTTCAAGGATTCCCAGGTCCAAAAGTACGTGTGCATCTTTTTTATTATTATTAGAGTTTAAGCCATTTGCAAAGAAAGATGGGGCAATTTTTAATTGGTTTTAGCAATAATTGGTTTTAAATGTATCCAGAACTATTGGACTGTTGCAGACATCAAGCTATGTATCACAGATCTAAAGCAGAGATCAAAAAGTAGGATTACCCCTTTTTGACCTAAGCGGTTAGCCAAAGTTCAGAGCCCTGTGGGTTGTTTCTGTTAGGAGGAGAAGCTGATGATGGAGTCAGGTATCTGTGAGGAAATACTGTTTATTTACAAAGAATGTACAGGCGGAATCAAACTATGGGAGAGAGTTTCTTTGCTCACAGCTCCAAGCCCCTTTCAGCCAGACTCAGCCCCAAAGCTCTCTTTCTCTCTTGGGGCTTTTCTCGGGGCTACGCTCTTGGTGCTTGTCCAGGCTGTGTCTGGCTTTTTGCACTTTCTCTTGGTGTCTACACTGCAATTAGACACCTGTGACTCGCTTGTGCCAGCTGACTCGGGCTAAGAGGCTGTTTAATCCCAGTATAGATGTTCAGGTGACAGAATAAGCTCTGGGACCCTAGAGCCCAGGCTGCAGCCTGAGCCTCACATCTACACCACAATTAAACATCCCCTTAGCCTGAGCCCCACCAGCCTGATTTAGCTGGCACAGGCCAGCTGCAGGCTTTAAATTGCAGTGTAGACATACCCTCTGTGTCCATTTCGGTGGTGTTTCTCCTGCTTCTCTTTCTCTCATGCACACACCTCTGTTACAATACCCACCCAAGCCCCAATCTTACATAGTGTCAAATTTCTTTGAATTTGTTTTGAGTGATGTCCGATACCTGTGTTTGGGGTGGAGGCCTCTACTATTTCAAAAAGGAACGTAACTGTTTCTTACAGCTATTTTAAATAAAAGGCACCAGTTACATCCCCCAGCTTCCATGAGTTTTAGCCTAACCCAGCACAGTAATATTCTGAGCCCTGGTCTACACTACCACCTTCTGTCAATATAACTACGTTATAACTACAGAAAATCCACACCCGAGTGACGTAGTTAGACCAACCTAACCCCCAGTGCAGACAGCGCTATATCGGCGGGAGGACTTCTCCCATTGCATAGCTACCATCTCTCAGGGAGGCGGAGTACCTATGCCAACGGGAGAAGCTCTCCCATCGACATAGGTAGCATCTTCACTAAGTGCTACAATGGTGCTGCTGCCACCACTGCAACACTCTAAGTGTAGACAAGCCCAGAGTCAGTTTGTTTCATGTTTTCACTTTGATTGCTCTTAGCAAGTATCATGCTTCCACTCTCCATACTGTTCTTTCTGAGAAAAATAATTGCTTACGTACAGTAGTTTTGGCTGAGATAGTGGCTAGATTTTAGTCTGTCAGATGTTCAGTTATAATGATTTAAGCCTTTTATTTTTATTTTTAGGGTCCTGATGGGGACATTGGTTTAGTTGGAATTCTGGGTCCTAAAGGACCTGTAGGCCAAATTGTAAGTATTATATGTAATTCTACAAAATAATTTTCACAACACTGTTTAGTTGGTGCACCTTCATTTTCTATAGCCTTTTTAGTAGAGCTCTGTAATCAGATTGAATGAGCCAAATAACTCTCTTTTTCTTCATAGCAAACCAGAACATTTAGTCAAATGCCCACCTCTGAGCAGCTAAAAAGGGCCAAACTCTGCCTCTGAAGGGCAAATTTGGCCCCTGGGAATAGTTAATTCAAATGTCACATTTAGGAATTATTCCTTTTAACTGAAGAGTAACTAAACTGAATTAGCTGATTTGTGTCTGACCTGTGACAGCTTTTCACATTGTAATTTTCTCTCCTGTTACTCATCCAGAAATCTGGAGGCACTGCTGGAATTTATCAATAGCGGTATTTGAGGGAGGGAATATTCTTCCATCTTGAGCAATCTGGGGTGGTGGCCGGGTTGCGGCTCTGCACATCACATTGTAAAATGCTCTATTCTTCACTGCCAATGACAGGGCCTTAGCTCTTGTGATATGTGCCCTGACATCACTTCTGAGAGAGTTTGATTAGTTGGCATCTGAGATAACCAGCTTGAGAGACTTATTTTTATAGCTGTTTTCTCTTCCTGATCATCGGTGTACAGGACAGACAATGGTTCTGAGCTATTTGCCCAAAAGGAGCTTTATCATTTACCAGAATGAAACAGGAAAATACCTCTGTTTGCAGTGTTTATTAGTTGTCTTATATGATTACTTGTGGGTAGCAATATACCTCAGGATGTGGCTGACGGTAGCTCAAAACAAGGAATATTTGGCTTTTGGGTAAACAAAAGACTTCATTTACCATTGCTTTTAGTGCTCTGACTTTCATAGCCATATATAGACTCTCCAAACACACACAAATAATTACTGATTATTAAAATAATTATCTAGTTCATTGCCTGTTGATAGTCTTCAGAAAGCCAGCATTGACATGGCACTTTGAATATATATGGCATCCTGTGTTGCTTCATTACTGTGCTGTTGAAAGTTTTAGGCCTATAATTATGCATGGAGGCATAGTATGGTGTTATTTAAATATAAATACAGTTATTTGAAGACTGAGCAATCTTAAAACAGAATGTGTTTTTCCTGGGATTTTCTTCATGTTGAAATCATGATTAGCTAGTAAATTCCTTTGTTTGTTTACAGGGATACACTGGCCCCATTGGTCAAGAAGGCATAATAGGCCCAACAGGCAAACCTGTAAGTTTAAGTCCTTAGGTTTACCTTTACATTTCACATTATTTGTTAGGATGTTCTTTCATCATGTGTTTAATTATGTCTTAATAGAAGATTTTTACAACTTAAACAGCAGCTAGCAAGACTATTTTCATATTACACCATATCCACAAGCTTCGCATGTGACTCTAATATAAGTAGAGCAAACTAAAAGATGGCAAGTGTCATTGGAGTGAACCAGTTCTCTTCTTGACAATGCAGTACACATAGGGTGAGAGTCCATGCTGCTCCTCTAATTGGCTCAGCACAGATTCTGTAACCCACAGGGAGGAGATGTCATAGTGGCTTCAAACCATTTTTGTATTCTCCCAATCCTGGAGAGGACCTATCATAATACAGACAGCCTGGAGGCCTGTGTAAATTAAGGCAGCCTGGTTTGGTCGTCCTCTGGCCCACAGCGCTGCCTAGAATCTCTGCGCTGCTGTGGCCCTACCCCCATCCAATTCTTCCTGCCCCTAGCGCCATCTCCAGCACACACTCTATGCCAGGGCTCGCAAAGAGGTCCTTGGGAGGCAGCCTTATGGCTCTCTCAGTAGTTTCTGTGATGGAGAATCCTCTCCTGGCCAGATATGAGGCTTTTAGAGCCCCTTTACACCCTCTCGTGACACAAAGGGGCAGGAGTGAGGATCTCACCTGATATCTCTATGAAGTTGGAATGCACAGCAGCAAAATAATGTTAATATACAGTAGTTAATATTTAGTATTTGTAACATGTACATAACTGGAGTGAAGAAAGAGAAGGGAAATAGGATTAGAGCATTCTTGCCCCTTGCTGGGAAAAAGGTCACACCAGCAAAGTACAATACAGTGAAACCCCGCTATAACGCGATGATTGGGGTCCAAAAAATTTGATCGCGCTAAATGCGGGGTCGCGGTATAGCGAGCTTTACTATTTCAAGCCGGTCAGTTTCAAGCCGGTCAATTTCTCTTGGGCAGAAAACGACTTGTGTTTGCGAACTGCCCATAACAGTAACTGGAAGGGTGCAGCTCCAGCAGCGGGGGCTCTCAGCCATGCAGCGAGAGAGGGAAACACTTGGGGAGAGCAAGGGAGACGTGCAAGGAGCAGAGGAAGAGCAAGGAGCAGCTGGGGAGGAGAATGGCTCTTCTCGCCAAAAGGAGAAGCGGGGGTCGGGGGAAGAGGCAGTGGGGAAGGCACGATTTCATTTTTTGTTTATTTTTTCTTTGGCG